AAGGAAAATGAAAGGGAATGAGCAGTATCAAAGACATTAGCTGAAGAGTGTTTGTGTAATCTGTGCACTAATGGTTACCCGCCCCAAATTCGCGATTCTCACCCGACGGTTATAATTATGGTGATCATGCACCTTTCTTTTGTCTGGTTGGCATACGAGCAACTCCATATGGCCGAAACCTTCGAAATGTGTTCATATTGTTTCCATCTAGCTGCAATAATGGCTTTTTATTGTGCAGGTGTCAAATGACACTGGTTGGCCGTTCTAGGTATACGTACTCGCCATTATGGTACCTCATCAATTACAAATCAAAGGTTTATGGCAGACGAAAGAGGAAGAAAAATTAGGAATAGTTTCAAGATTTCAGCTTATTCTGATTATCCATATTTCGGTAATTCCAAAAGTTTGACTCGCGCGGTGTCAAATGACACCATTGGCTGTTCTAGGGTTAACTTAATTAGGATGCCTATGGTAGTTCTAGGGTTAGGAGATGTACACACCACTGCTAACTGGTCTTAAAAGGATAGGGGCACAGCAACCACTATTCCTAAATAGCAGACAGAAGCAGAGAGGGCAATGGGGGTGTCACGATAGAGAACTGCTGTACCAGGTTGCAGCTCTTTACAACGATAGCGAAGTATTAAAACCTGGGTCTTAGCAGTGCCATTCATGACATATTATGGTAATCTCTGCCCTAGAATAATGCATATTTTCAAAGAGTTACTCAGAAACTCTTCTACCGATACAGCCATATCTAGTATATTCTCTATGATACGAAAAAGTCAAAGCAATTGGTATATAAGCCAGTTGGATACGATTGTACAAATAGAATTGAGTTTATAGTGAGTTTGTACGTTGAAACGCTTACGTTGCAAATCGGATGAGGGTATAAATATGAGTGTGTTTGCTTTGAAGCGCTGTTCTTCCGGTTGCATTTGCGTAGATTATTCAAATTTTCACTACAAAAATGGAGTCGGAATTATCCAAGAAGGTTTGCCGCTTCTATTTGACTGGAAGCTGTCGTTTCAACAAGCGATGTAGAAACCTCCACATTGATGGTAAGTGTTTGTGTTGAGTGTACTATTCCTTGCCGGGGACGATATCTAACCTCCATATTTTGTTCATCATCACAGAGACGGAGGGAACCAAGGAGCTTCTAGAGATGGTGAGGAACATGCCTCAAAGCGCAAGTGCTGGGTCCGCGGCAAGACGACCAAAGATTCACCTTGGTTCCAAGAAAGGTCAGTATTCCTTGCGGATTAGCACACTTGCATGAGGCACCAAGTGGAATGTTTTTTAGTGTAATATTATTTGAGCATAAAGTAACCGAAATCAATAGGACAAGCTGAATTGACATGTGTGTGTGTGCACTTTATTCATGCAATGTGAAACGGTTGAGAAGATTTGCTATAAAACGAAACTTGTTTGAATCCTTATCCTTCTTTACACTCTTCCGTCATGTTTTCTTCGTTTTATTCCGCATTGTCTCCACCGTTTTACATTGCATGAATAAAGTGTCCTCAAATTTAATGTCTATTCAGCTTCTCCTATTGATTGCGGTTATCAACTTATTGTCACCTCGCCGTTTGTTTTTTATATTTAGTGTTAGTTGAAAATTCTTATACGGAGAAGCCACTCGTTAAACTTGAAAAAATGAAAACAAATAATTATCATTACACGAGGTTCTTGCTCAGAGGAATACAACAATGCAATTTCATCTTGTCAAATTCTGTTCTCCCGTGCTTATTGCAGATACACGATCGCGAAGGAGTTCATCTGATACAAAGCATCGTTCCGTTGCTAGGAAAGCTACTTTTAAAAAGAGTTGTCGTCCGGGAAAAGGCACGCCATCTTCTGCCACAACAGCAACGTCAACATCGGCTTCCACACAGAAGGAAATTTTACCGACACCGGAAGTAACGAAACCGGAAGTACCGACACCGCCAGTGGCAGTGTATGTAGCACCACCAACCTGCGGGATCGAGGTAAGGTGTCTTTCTTCTCATACATGTATTGGGCATTGATGGATCGTCTCGATCATTCAATGCTATTGCTAATACAAAAGGACGCCCCAATGCACTGTCAGTTCAAAACCCTTCCATTGCGTGACACCAAGGCCAGCGTGTGATGCCAGTAATCAGTAAAAACTGTACAAACTGTTCACATTACATATACATTGATAGTCCAATGCATTTGAACATATACACTTCAATGATATTTAAGGAATGCATACACCAAACAAATCCAAAACGGGATACCACATCCTACTTTGCTGAAGGAAACACACCGACGAATTAAGAATGATATACATATTATCGTTCTGTGGCGTTTTTCGCGTTGATAGCGAAATTGACCATATCAATGTTATTTTATATTGTCCCACAGGACCTGGTGGAGGCCATGGATATCCAAGAGGAAGAGCAGACGGAATGAGCTGAAACGACAGCATTCAACGCTTCCAGAAACAAATAATATTCTTATGAAACAAACCTGCTATTTTGTGAATTTTGCTAAATCACGGACATTTTACATTGCCTGGACCTGTTTATTAGTTCGTTAGATAGTTTAAATCCCATAGTTATTCATAATACGTTACTCCAGTTACGCCTGGTGTACACAGATTTGACCGCTTCCTCCAGGTTTTTGTAAGACATATTTTCTGAACTGACAGACACGTACACAAAAAGGAGTTGCTCGAAGAAAATTTGGGGTTCGAAATGGCATGGCAAGGGTCCTGTTGCCATCTTATTTCTCAGTAGAACGTTGAAAATGTTTGCAGCAACCCAGAGATGAGGCCTAGGATTATATCGTGAACGATATAATTTTATAATAGCGAAGGGAATATATGTCAAAAAGAGAAGAATCACAAGAAAACGAGTTATGCAGCCACTATCCACGACTGAAATAAGATGATTAACGGTCTGAAAGTGCGATAATAGGGTGCTATGTAACCAGAAAGAAAACGATGTATCACTCACACTCTTCAAGTAATACACACGCACCATTTCATTCATTCACACAGTATCACATTCATCTGCCACAATCTGTCTCACTTACACTCTATTCACACATTGCCAAGGTGCAAACTTCGCTTTTTGTACTTGCTGCCTGTTGTATTTCCAAAATTTCAACAACCGTAGAATTACCGGATGCACCATATGACTCCAACGGACCTTATCTACTTGGTATTATTTCTTGGCACAATTTGTGGAAACGGAAGTTCTTGGGGTAAAGAGTTACTCTTAAAAGGAAGAACCAATTATAGTTGCACTACCTTGGAGACAGGCAGCTGGGTTTGCGGGCAGCGAAAGGGCGACCTCTCGTCAATTTCCGTAAAATCAAAAATGCATCTGCCTGACATGAGCATCCTGCAATCTCTACATTTCAGTCCATTACCTTGGAAGTGGCTGCTACTTCGCCAACTTGCTGAATTACCCCCAGCAAGGTTCGTTATTCCTTGACTGCTGTGATAAGTACATTTACGAGCGAAAGGAGAAAGTGGTGTCTTTTCCTTTGCGGTCCATTACTATCAAGCCGAAGGGCTGTTGTCAGATTATTGCGGGTATAGAGGACGCCTATTGAAAATTTGCGAAAGCAATGCCATGATATTGCCGTCACTCAAAGTAGAGTCCTCTCCAATTTTCTGTTTTCCTTCCTGCCTTGTGCATTTGATAATGACATGGATCATATTCTGGTCAATAAACGCGAGTAATGCATCTGACCCCTCTTTAAAATTTAGAACATCCCGGAAAAGCCCGCCAACTTCCGCAGCCACAACTGGTTGCGTGCTTTCGGGCTTGCTTGGTGCAACACATTTTCCACTGTCTACCAACTTTGCAAGGAAGCACAATTTCGTGAAGGAAGTCCTGCCCAAGGTTTGGAGGTTGATGTTCTGTTTTAGGAATGGCACCCTAGCTTGATAACCACCGTTATCCGCTTGCTTCTTCGAGTCGGATTCTCTGTCAGACTCATCGAGAAGCCGGAGCAATTATTATTCACTCATCTTATTATGGAGCATATAACTATGTGTCTCTACGTTCGGTCACTTTTAATTCTTCGCCCACTGTGATCCAATCCCTCTCTCCGCAATCATCCCCAAACTCCTGCCCCGAATTTCTGTAAAATCAAATGAAATGCTTTCGGCAGCGACACTACGCCTGCCGAACATGGCTTCCGCCAGACCGAGCAAAACTCAAAGGAAGTTCCAAGCACATTATACCTGCACTGGCACTTCATATCTTTCAATGCTGCAGATAATATAGTGGATCACTTTCCACCACTTTGGGGGAACAAATTTCTCTGTTTCAACAGGATTCAGGACTACGATATTGACCATAGCTACACGTGATATATGCATATTAACATGTCCATATGTACAAATTACCATTTCCATGGTCCCTAATTTACTTGCTCCTCCACGAATTCCTCTTTATGATATTCGCGTGTGTTTCTCAGCCGAATTGGCCATCTTATTGATTACTGTAGTTTGTGGAGTCATATGATGCCGCACGGTAATTCTAGGTGGTATCTTAGGCTACAGTACTCAAATTTTCTAACCGCCCATATCACATGAATCACATTTTGTAATTCTCAAATGCATCATATGATGCCTCTGGTAGTTCTAGGGTTAAGAGATGTACACACCGCTGCTACCATGTCTTAAAAGGATAGATGCTCGTCAACTTATATTCCTAAATAGCTGACGGAAACGGAGAGGGCAATGGGGGGGGGGGGGGTCGCGATAGAGAACTGATGTACCATGTGCCAGCTCTTTACAAGGGCGGCGAAGCGTTAAAACCTGGGTTTTAGCAGTCCCATTCATTTCATGTTGTAGTAATCTCTGGCCTAGAATAATCCATATTTTCAAAGAGTTCCTCAGACACTCCTCTAGTACTAAAGCGATATCTTGTATATTCTCGATGATACGAAAAAGTCAAAATAACTGGAACATAAGCAAGTTGGATACGATTGTACAAATAGAGTCGAGTTTATAGTAAATGTGTACGTTGAAACCCGTACGTTGCAAGTCAGATGAGGGTATAAATATGAGTGTATTTGCTTTGAAGCGCTGTTCTTCCGGTTGCATTTGCGTAGATTGTTCTATCTTTCACTACAAAAATGGAGTCGGAATTAGCCAAGAAAGTTTGCCACTTCTATGTGACTGGAAACTGTCGTTTCAGCAAGCGATGTAGAAACCTCCACATTGATGGTGAGTGTTTGTGTTGAGTGGAGTATTTCTTGCCGGGGACAATGACTAACATCCAAATTTTGTTCATCATCACAGAGACGGAGGGAACCAAGGAGCTTTTAGAGATGGTCAGGAAGATGCCTCAAAGATCTGGGTCCGCGGCAAAACGACCAAAGATTCAAATTGGTTCCAAGAAAGGTCAGTGTTGATTGCAGATTAGCACACTTGCATGAGCTAGGTGCGCCATCAAGTGGAATGTTTTTCAGTGTATGATTATAATAATGGACATTAAGTAACCGCAATCAATAGGAAAAGCTGAATCGACATGTGTGTGTGCACTGTATTCATGCAATGTAAAACGAAACTTGCTTAAATCCTTATCTCTTTTTACACTCTTTCGTCATATTTTCATCGCTTTATTGCACATTATTCCCACGGTTTTACATTGCATGAATAAAGTGTACTCAAATGTAATGTCTATTCAGCGTGTCCTATCGATTGTGGTTATCAAATTATTGTCACCTCGCGGTTTGTTTGAAGATTTAGTATAAGTAGAAAATTATTGTACTGAGAAGCCACTTGTTAAACTTTAAAGATTGAATAATAATAATTCTCATTGAACGAGTTTCTTTCTTAGAGCAATACATCAATGGAATTTCATCTTTTCAAATTCTGTTCTCCCGTGCTTATTGCAGATACACGACCGCGAAGGAGTTCATCTGCTACCAAGCAGCGTTCCGTTGCACGGAAATCTACTTTTAAAAAGAGTTGTCGTCCGGGCAAAGGCACGGCACCTTCTACAACAGCAACGTCAACATCTGGTTCGGCTTCTATACTACAGAAAGACATTATACCGACACCGGAAGTACCTACACCGCCAGTGGCAGTCCATGTAGCACCACCAACCTGCGGGATCGAGGTAAGGTGTCTTTCTACTCATGCATGTATTGGGCAAGGATGGATCGTCTCGATCATTCAATGCTATTCAATGCACTGTCAGTTCATAACCCTCGCATTGCGTGACACAAAGGCCAGGGTGCAGAAGACATTCATTACATGAGTGATGCCAGTAATCAGTACAAACTGTACAAGCTGTTCACGTTACATGTACATTGATAGTCCAATGCACATGAACATATCAACCTACAATGAAATTTGAGCAATGCATAAGCCAAACCAACCCAAAGCGGGAAACCACATCCTTCTGTGCTAAAGGAAACACACCGATGAATTTTAAAGAATGATATACATATCGTTCTGTGGCGTTTTTGGCCCTCATAACGAATTTGACCATATCAATGTTGTTTTTATTGTCCCACAGGACCTGGTGGAGGCCATGGATATCCAAGAGGAAGAGCAGACCGAATGAGCTGACACGACAGCATTCAACGCTTCGAGAAACAAATAATATTCTTATCAAAGAAAACTTGATAGTTTGTGAATTGTGCTAAATCACGGACATTTTACACTGCCCGGACCTTATAGTTTAAATCTCGTAGTTATTGTTGTTAGTTCCACACAGATTTTACCGCTTCGTCAAGGTTTTTGTAAGCCATATTTTCTGAACTGACAGACACGTACACAAAAAGGAGTTGCTCGAAGAAAATTTGGTGTTCGAAATGGCATGGCAAGGGTCCTGTTGCCAACTTATTTCTCAGTAGAACGTTGAAAATGTTTGCAGCAACCCAGAACTGAGGCCTGGGATTATATCGTGAACGATATAATTTTATAATAGCGAAGGGAATATAATGTCAAAAAGAGAAGAATCACAAGAGAACGAGTTATGCAGCCACTATCCACGACTGAAATAAGATGATAAACGGTCTGAAAGTGCGATATTAGAGTGCTATGTAACCAGAAAGAAAACGTTGTGTCACTCACACTCTTCAAGTAAAACACACGCACCATTACATTTATTCATACAGTATCACATTCATCTGCCACAATCTGTCTCACATACACTCTATTCACACATTGCCAAGTTGCAAACTTAGCTTTTTGTACTTGCTGCTGTTGTATTTCCAAAATTTCAACAACCGTAGAATTACCGGATGCACCATATGACTCCAACGGACCATCTACTTGGTATTATTTTTTGGCAAAATGTTTGGAAACGGACGTTCTTGTGGTAAAGAGTTACTCATAAAAGGAAGAACCAATTATAGTTGCACTACCTTGGAGACAGGCAGCTGGGTTTGTGGGCAGCGAAAGGGCGACCTCTCTTCAATTTCCGGAAAATCAAAAATGCATCTGCCTGACATTAGTATCCTGAAATCTCTACATTTCTGTCCATTACCTTGGAAGTGGCTGCTACTTCGCCAACTTGCTGAATTACGCCCAGCAAGGTTCGTTATTCTTTGACTGCTATGATAAGTACATTTACGAGCGAAAGGAGAAAGTGGTGTCGCGACTCATCGCAAAGAAATAGCTCCGTTCGCCGTTTTATCCGAAGACCATCTTCCTGATCAAACCTCAGGTAGCTGAGTAGTTCCTGGAAACTATTTTTAGGAATTTTCCTTGGCGGTCCATTACTATCAAGCCGAAGCGCTGTTGTCAGATTATTGCGGGTACAGAGGACGCCTATTGAAAATTTGCGAAAGCAATGCCATGTTATTGCCGTCACTAAAAGTAGAGTCCTCTCCAATTTTCTGTTTTCCTTCCTGCCTTGTGCATTTGATAATGAAATGGATCATATTCTGGTCAATAAACGCGAATAATGCATCTGACCCCTCTTTAAAATTTTGAATATCCCGGAAAAGCCCGCCAACTTCCGCAGCCACAACTTGTTGCGTGCTTTCGGGCTTGCTTGGTGCAACACATTTTCCACAGTCTACCAACTTTGCAAGGAAGTACAATTTCATGAAGGAAGTCCTGCCCAAGGTTTGGAGGTTGATGTTCTGTTTTGGGAATGGCCCCCTAGCTTGATAACCACCGTTATCCGCTTGCTCCTTCGAATCGGATCCTGTGTCAGACTCATCGAGAAGCCGGAGCAATTAGTATTCACTCATCTTATTATGGAGCATATAACTATGTGTCTCTACGTTCGGTCACTTTTAATTCTTCGCCCACTATGATCCAATCCCTCTCTCCGCAATCATCCCCAAACTCCTGCCCCGAATTTCTGTAAAATCAAATGAAATGCTTTCGGCAGCGACACTTAGCCTGCCGAACATGGCTTCCGCCAGACCGAGCAAAACCCAAAGGAAGTTACAAGCACATTATTCCTGCACTGGCACTTCATATCTTTCAATGCTGCAGATGATATAGTGGATCACTTTCCACCACTTTGGGGGAACAAATTTCTCTGTTTTGACAGGATTCAGGACTACGATATTGACCATAGCTACACGTGATAATTTGTACATATGGAAAAAGAGTTGTCGTCCGGGCAAAGGCACGCCATCTTCTACAACAGCAACGTCAACATCTGGATCGGCTTCTATACTACAGAAAGACATTATACCGACACCGGAAGTACCTACACCGCCAGTGGCAGTCCATGCAGCACCACCAACCTGCGGGATCGAGGTAAGGTGTCTTTCTTCTCATACATGTATTGGGCAAGGATGTATCGTCTTGATCATTCAATGCTATTGCTAACACAAGAGGACGCCCCCAATGCACTGTCAGTTCAGAACCCTTGCATTGCGTGACACAAAGGCCAGGGTGCAGTAGACATTCATTACATGAGTGATGCCAGTAATCAGTACAAACTGTACAAGCTGTTCACGTTACATGTACATTGATAGTCCAATGAACATGAACATATCAACCTAAAATGAAAATTGAGCAATGCATAAGCCAAACCAACCCTAAGCGGGAAACCACATCCTACTGTGCTAAAGGAAACACACCGATGAATTAAAAATGATATACATAATATCGTTCTGTGGCGTTTTTGGCCCTGATAACGAATTTGACCATATCAATGTTGTTTTTATTGTCCCACAGGACCTGGTGGAGGCCATGGATATCCAAGAGGAAGAGCAGACCGAATGAGCTGAAACGACAGCATTCAACGCTTCGAGAAATAAATAATATTCTTATCAAACAAAACTTGCTAGTTTGTGAATTGTGCTAAATCACGGACATTTTACACTGCCCGGACCTGTTTATTAGCTCGTTAGATAGTTTAAATCCCGTAGTTATTCGTGTTAGTTCCACACAGATTTTACCGCTTCGTTAAGCTTCTTGTAAGCCATATATGCTGAACTGACAGACACGTATACAAAAATTGCTCGAAGAAAATTTGGGGTTCGAAATGGCATGGCAAGGGTCCTGTTGCCATCTAATTTCTCAGTAGAACGTTGAAAATGTTTGCAGCAACCCAGAGATCAGGCCTGGGATTATATCGTGAACGATATAATTTTATAATAGCGAAGGGAATATATGTCAAAAAGAGAAGAATCACAAGAGAACGAGTTATGCAGCCACTATCCACGACTGAAATAAGATGATAAACGGTCTGAAAGTGCGATAATAGGGTGCTATGTAACCAGAAAGAAAACGTTGTGTCACTCACACTCTTCAAGTAAAACACACGCACCATTACATTCATTCACACAGTATCACATTCATCTGCCACAATCTGTCTCACATACACTCTATTCACACATTGCCAAGGTGCAAACGTCGCTTTTTGTACTTGCTGCCTGTTGTATTTCGAAAATTTCAACAACCGTAGAATTATCGGATGCACCATATGATTCCAACGGACTTAAACTTATCTACTTGGTAAATAATAATAATAATAATAATAATAGCACATTTCGCGTAGTAGAGCACTAAATAAAGAAATTCAGTGTTTTTTCCGCTTCTGTCTTGTGAGCATCATCAGCTAGGTGTAGTAGCTGCTGATACCGATTTCTCGCCGGGTGTCGAGCTGCACAGTTTCCTCCAGTCTGTCTTGTCTGCTGCTTGTTGTCGGCACCTGGAAAGGTCTTCCATGGTCTTCATTGGCACACCCAGCTTATTCAGCTGAGCAACCAGACTTGTGGCCAGTGTCAACCTTGGCCGTCCACGAGGTGCTTTGTTGCCCTTGTCAAAATAGCCGCTCATGGCTACTTGCGGTGGCGTGTCCGTGTCCATCCGTAGCACATGACCGGTCATTCGTAGTCGCCTACATGCAACTGTGTCTGATATAGGGTTGCTCTTGGTTCTGCGGTATAGGTCGTCGTTTGAAATTGTGTCTGGGTATCGTATTCCAAGGAGTGATCGCATTTGACGCCGGTGGAATGCGTCTGCCTTGGCCATTGCTGTTGACGATAATCCCCAGGTCTCGCAATTGTACAGGAATGTCGGCAGTACGATAGCGTTGTACATTGGTAAAAGTTGGTATTATTTCTTGGCAAAATGTGTGGAAACGGAAGTTCTTGGGGTAAAGAGTTACTCTTAGAAGGAAGAACCAATTATAGTTGCACTACCTTGGAGACAGGCAGCTGGGTTTGCGGGCAGCGAAAGGGCGACCTCTAGTCAATTTCCGGAAAATCAAAAATGCATCTGCCTGACATGAGCATCCTGCAATCTCTACATTTCTGTCCATTACCTTGGAAGTGGCTGCTACTTTGCCAACTTGCTGAATTACCCTCAGCAAGGTTCCTTATTCTTTGACTGCTATGATAAGTACATTTACCAGCGAAAGGAGAAAATGGTGTCGCGACTCATCGCAAAGAAATAGCTCCGTTCGCCGTCGTATCCGAAGACCATGTTCCTGATCAAACCTCAAGTAGCAGAGTAGTTCCTGGAAACTATTTTTAGGAATTTTCCTTTGCGGTCCATTACTATCAAGCCGAAGGGCTGTTGTCAGATTATTGAGGGTACAGAAGACGCCTATTGAAAATTTGCGAAAGCAATGCCATGATATTGCCGTCACTAAAAGTAGAGTCCTCTCCAATTTTCTGTTTTCCTTCCTGCCTTGTGCATTTGATAATGACATGGATCATATTCTGGTCAATAAACGCAAATAATGCATCTGACCCCTCTTTAAAATTTTGAATATCCCGGAAAAGCCCGCCAACTTCCGCATCCACAACTGGTTGCGTGCTTTTATTTATTTATTTATTTCACTCAACTCGTGGTTCATGACCAATTGGCACGCAAAGTGCGAGAGAGGGGTGATAGCCAACCACGGCACTTTCGGGCTTGCTTGGTGCAACACATTTTCCACTGTCTACCAACTTTGCAAGGAAGCACAATTTCATGAAGGAAGTCCTGCCCAAGGTTTGGAGGTTGATGTTCTGTTTTGGGAATGGCCCCCTAGCTTGATAACCACCGTTATCCGCTTGCTCCTTCGAGTGGGATCCTGTGTCAGACTCATCGAGAAGCCGAAGCAATTAGTATTCACTCATCTTATTCTGGAGCATATAACTATGTGTCTCTACGTTCGGTCACTTTTAATTCTTCGCCCACTATGATC